GTTCAGGTAGGGGCGCAACTGGTGCACCAGGCGAACCTGGGCAAATGCCCCCCTGGTCACAGCTGACAAGTTGTGTCACAGCTGACATCTAAGTTTAAAGAACACCATGTTCATTTTGGGGGTGGTCCCCTTTCTTAAGATTACTTTCTTGCAGGTTTTCATAGCTGTCCTGATCCTGTGTTTGTCACCCATTTTGGGTGATGTAGAGTCAATATCCAGCTAGGCCATCATGGCCCAGCTGGCCAGACCGAACCTCCTCTTTCCCCATTAGGAGTGGGAAGCCAGCTAATAGCAATAGCAGGCTGGACATTCCCTACTTTCTACCAGTTTCAAGTTTCAAGTTTATTAGAATTTGTATGCCGCCCACTCCCATAGGGACTCTGGGCGGCTCACAACAGACGAGAAACATTTAAAATTTAAAAAAAAGAAATAAAAACATAAAAAAATACAGTATTAAAATTCACATCACCCATTCCATCTACCACCCGTACCTTCCGTCGGTTGCCCATTTTACAGGGGAAAAAGAGAAGTAGCAGAGTAGGAGTTTAATATGTGTTTTTTTCAGAAACCCATCTGCGCTATTAATCTAGGACAATGTTGCAATGGTTCCAGAGCTTCCAGAGGTGCAAAAAAAAACATCTGCCCTGTGTTATAAATACATGCTTAATTGTGCCGTGGCTTTTTAACCATTCGTACACTGTTTTAACATGTCATTTGCCCCATTACAAAGATTATCAAGAGTTTTTATTTTCTGTAATTTATTTCACAAAAGCTGCTGAAAATCACAAGATTAATAAACCCAATAATTAATAACTGCTTAAAATAATAAATCAACCCCATTATTGTGAGGGAGCAAGTTTGAATTCTGTCTTAGAGGATTCCATTTTCCAAAGCATCCTCCGGGGAGGGAAAAGCTGTCCAGAGGAAGAGAGATGTTCCTGAGAAATTCCCAAGTCCCAGCTCCCCACATTTTTTTTCAGGGTGGGCACCCAGAATATCCTCTCCCTAATTAAACCATTTAGGTACCTCAGATAGTAATCCAGCATGGTTACTTCACCAGCACCTTGAATTGGGACTGAACACCCAATCTGTGCAAACCTCAGAGAACAGATACTAAATTAACTGGCTTATGCTAAGCCAGTTAACTTGGATCAGCAAGCAAGCCACTATTCCAGCTGTCGCCTCTGAGTTTAAAGGGCACTTTTCTGTCCTACTATAGTTGTTGATAATTAGTTCACTAATCCTAGGATGTTCTTTTAATTCATAAACAATTAACTGCTGATTATCACTGATTATCAGTGCATTTTCTCACACACAGCATTTACTGTAATCGTCCTTTGTAATTTTCCACATTTAATTTTTCCACAGCTTTTAATTGGTACAGCTGTTAGCATTTATGATAATTCAGTGAAACTGAAGGAAAGAACTCAAGTTTACAAAACCTCGGTCAATATGTTTAAAGTATAGAAAGATTCTTGATTGGTAGAAACAGCTACCTTTATAGCAATAAATAAATAAAATAAATTTGGTGGGTGGGGGGAGGGTGGGCAAATCAAGCTAACAAGATAATCAGCAATATTTCTTTAACTGTTTATTAACACTAATTGTATTAATTGAGGCTTGCTTCTGTTCCAAACATTTTGAGCTTTGATTGCCCTTCCATTTGTCATCTACTCTGCAGTAACCATTGGTGCTCTCTTCCTTGTTTCAGGGATGCCTTAAATAAGATGAAGGATGTTTACCAAAAGACACCACAGATGGGAGACCCCAACAGCTTGGAGCCAAAGATCTCAGAGACCCTGGGCAATATTGAAAGGTTGCGTCTAGAGATTCAGAAATGTGAAGTAAGGACTTGTTTATGTATTTATTTATTAAATATATTTATATGCCGCCCAATCCCGAAGGACTCCGGGCGGCTTACAAAAAATGTAAGAAAAACACAAAAGATAAAAGAAAACAGTT